GCCAAAGCAATCTTGAGAACGAAAAGTGGAGCTGGAGGAATCAGGCTCCCTGACTTCAGACTATACTACAAAGCTACAGTAATCAAGACAGTATGGTACTGGCACAAAAACAGAAAGATAGATCAATGGAACAGGATAGAAAGCCCAGAGATAAACCCACGCACATAGGGTCACCTACCTTTGATAAAGGAGGCAGGAATGTACAGTGGAGAAAGGACAGCCTCTTCAATAAGTGGTGCTGGGAAAACTGTAGAGGAACATGTAAAAGTATGAGATTAGATCACTCCCTAACACCATACACAAAAATAAGCTCAAAATGGATTAAAGACCTAAATGTAAGGCCAGAAACTATCAAACTCTTAGAAGAAAACATAGGCACAACACACTGTGACATAATCACAGCAAGATCCTTTTTGACCCACCTCCTAGAGAAATGGAAATAAAACAAAAATAAAGTAATGGGACCTAATGAAACTTCAAAGCTTTCGCACAGCATAGGAAACCATAAACAAGACCAAAAGACAACCGTCAGAATGGGAGAAAATATTTGCAAATGAAGCAACTGACAAAAGATTAATCTCCAAACTTTACAAGCAGCTCATGCAGCTCAATAACAAAAAAACAAAAAACCCAATCCAAAAATGGGTAGAAGACCTAAATAGACATTTCTCCAAAGAAGATATACATATTGCCAACAAACACATGAAAGAATGCTCCACATCATTAATCATTAGAGAAATGCAAATCAAAACTACAATGAGATATCATCTCACACCAGTCAGAATGGCCATCATCAAAAAATCTAGAAACAATAAATGCTGGAGAGGGTGTGGAGAAAAGGGAACACTCTTGCACTGCTGGTGGGAATGTGAATTGGTACAGCCTCTATGGAGAACAGTACGGAGGTTCCTTAAAAAACTACAGGTAGAACTACCATATGACCCAGCGATTGCACTACTAGGCATATATCCTTAGGAAACCATAATTCAAAAAGAGTCATGTACCGAAAATGTTCATTGCAGCTCTATTTACTATAGCCAGGAGATGGAAGCAACCTAAGTGTCCATCATCGGATGAATGGGTAAAGAAGTGTGACACATATATACAATGGAATATTACTCAGCCATAAAAAGAAACAAAATTAAGTTATTTGTAGTGAGGTGGATGGACCTAGAGTCTGGCATACAGAGTGAAGTAAGTCAGAAAGAGAAAGACAAATACCATATGCTAACACATATATATGGAATCTAAGGGGGAAAAGTGTCCTTAAGAACCTAGGTGTAAGATGGGAATAAAGACACAGACCTACTAGAGAATGGACTTGAGCATATGAGGAGGGGGAAGGGTAAGCTGTGACAAAGTGAGAGAGTGGCATGGACATATATACAGTACCAAATGTAAAATAGATAGCTAGTGGGAAGCAGCCTCATAGCACAGGGAGATCAGCTCGTTGCTTTGTGACCACATAGAGGGGTGGGATAGGGAGGGTGGGAGAGAGGAAGACACAAGAGGGAAGAGATATGGGAACATATGTATATGTATAACTGATTCACTTTGTTATAAAGCAGAAACTAACACACCATTGTAAAGCAATTATATTCCAATAGAGATGAGAAGAAAAAAGCTGAAGAATACAATGATTGAAGTGAAAACTACACTAGAAGGAATTAACTGCAGATTAGAGGATGCAGACCAGATCAGCAATATGAATCTAGAATAACAGAAATCACCCAATAAAAACAAAAAGAAAAGAAAAAAATAACCAAAAATGAGGATTGTTTAAGAAACTTCTGGGGCAACATCATGCATACTAACCTTTGCATTACAGGGGTCCTGGAAGAAGAAGAGAGAAGGGGAGAGAAAATCTATTTGAAGAAATAATGGCTGAAAACTTTTTTAACTTGGCAAAGGAAACATCAAAGTTCAGAAATCACAGAGTCCCAAACAATAGGAAACCAAAGAAACCCACACTAAGAGACATTATAAATAAAATGTCAAAGGTTAAAGATAAAGAGAGGATCTTAAAAGTAGCCACACAGAGGAAAGTTACATATAGGGAAGTAGTTACATTTAGGGAAGCCTCCTTAACACTATCAGCTGACTTTACAGGGATAATTTTATAGGCCTGAGGGGATTGGCATGATATATTCAAAGGGCTGAAAAGAAAACATTAGCAACCAAGAATACTCTGTCTGGCAAGATTATCATTCAGAATTGAAAGAGAGGGTTTCCTGAATAAGCAAAAGCAAGACTAATGAACCACCACTAAAGTGACTTACAAGAAATATGAAAGAGATTTCTTTAAAGGGAAAAGAAATGGTTATAGCTATAAAAAAAAAGAATTATGAAAGAAAAACATCTCACTAATAAAGGAAACATGAAGTAAAAGTAGTAAATAACCACGTATATAGCTAGTATGAAGGTTAAAAAACAGAACACTAGTGATAAAATCTTCTATATCTAAAACAGTTAAGTGGCACACAAAACTTTTAAATACAAAATATGATGTCAAAGTCACAAAATGTGGAGGGGGGAAGAAAAATGTAGTGGTTTTAGAACACAAACCTAAGTGACCATCAACCTAAAATAGATTACTATATACGTAGGTTGTTATATAAGAAATTTATGGTAACCACAACCAAAAACCGACAATTGATACATACACACACACACACACACACACACACACACACACAAGAAAACAAAACAGAGTGTGAGGGAGAAAAGAATACAAATTAAGATTTTAAAATCTATTGAATCATAAGGCTAGAGAGCAAAAAAAGAAGGAAAGAAAGAGCAAAAACAACAAAACAGAAAACAATTAGCAAAATGGCAATAAGTACAATAAGTGTCACTAATCACTTTAAACATAATTGGACCAAAAATGTTCCAAGTAAAGAACGTAAGGTGGCTGAATGGATATATATATATAGCTTTAAGAGACTCACTTCTGATCTAAAGACACAAACAGACTGAACGTTAGATGATGGAATATATATTCTATGCACATGGAAATGAAAAGAAAGCTGGGGTAGCAATAGTTATATCAGACAAAAATGATTTTAAAACAAAGACTGTGACAAGAGACAAAAGAAAAGCATTAAATAATAATTTTTAAAAAAACCTTCAACAAGAAGATGTAAAACTTGTAAGTATATATGCAGCCAACATAGAGTCACCTATATACTTAAAGCAAATATTAACAGGCAATAAGGGAGAAATCAACAGTAATGATATTAGGGAACCTTAACATTCCACTGACCTCAATAGATAGATAATCTACACAGAAAATCAATAATAAAGCACTGGCCTTAAACGACACTTTAGATCAGATAGCTTTAACAGCTATATATTGGGTTGGCCAAAAAGTTCATTCAGTTTTAAGTAAAAATAAAAGACACATTTTTCATTTTCACCAAGAATTTAATTGAACAATGTATTCACTAACACAATGAACATTTTGGCCAACCCATTACAAAACATTTGATCCAAAAACAGCAAAATATAAGTGTTTTTTTTTTCCAAATGCACATAGAATATGCTCCAGGATAGGTCACATATTAAGCCACAAAACAAGTTTTGATAAGACTAAGAAAATTGAAATTATATCAAACATTTTTGTTTTGGTCACAATAGTACAAGACTTGAAATCAACTTCAAAAAGACAAAAAACCCACAAACGTGGAGTCTAAACAATATGCTAACCAAAAACCAATGATTCATTGAAGAAATCAAAGAGGAAATCAAAAAATACGCTGATACAAGTAACATGGAAACACAACATTCCAAAATCTATGGGACACAGCAAAAGCATTTCTAAGAGGAACGTTATAGCAATACAGGCCTACCTCAAGAGACAAAAAAATAATAATAATGCAAAACAAAGAAACCCCACAATCTAACCTGAGACCTAAAGGAACTAAAGTAAGAAGAAGAAACAAAATGCAAAGTTAGTAGAAGGAAGGAAAAAGAAAATTAGAGGCCGATATCCCCAATAAACATAGTTGCAAAAATCCTTAACAAAATATTTACAAATAATACTTTAAAACAGTCATACAACATGATCAAATGTGATTTGTTCCAGGAGTTCAAGAATAGTTTAATATCTGTAAACAAATCAACAAGATACACTATATTTTTTTTAAAAATGGATAAAATCATCACAATAACTGCAGAAAAGTTTTGACACAAACATTCATTTATTATAAAATACTCTCAACAAAGAGGACATAGAAGGAACATACTTCACAAAATAAAGACATTATATTACAAACCCACAGTTAACATCATTGTGGTTAAAAGTTGAAAGCATTTACTCTAAGGACAGGAACAAGACTAGAATACCCACTCTCACCCCTTTTATTCAATGTAGTACTGGATGTACTGGTATTCAATGTAGTACCTAGTCAAATTAATCAGACGAGAAAAAGAAGATAAAATAAAATGCAAATTTGGAAGAAACAAGTAAAATTATCACTCTTTGCGAACTTTGCAGACATGATACTATATATAGAAAACACTAAAGACTCCACCTAAAATCTATTACAACTAATAAATGAAGTCAGTAAAGTTGTAAGATACAAAATTAATATACAGAAATCTGTCGCATTTCTACACACTAATAACAATCAACCAGAAAAAGATTTTAAGAAAGCAATCCTACTTACAATGACATCAAAAGGAAGTAAATACCTAGGAATATGCAAGTTGGTGAAAGACCTGTACTCTAAAAAGTATAAGACTTTGATTAAAATAAAAAGAAGAAGACAAAGTGAAGATAGCACAAATCAATGGAAAGATATTAAATTCTCATGAAATGGAAGAATTAATATCAATAAAATGTTGATACTATCCAAAGCAATTTCCATATTCAATGCAATCCTTATCAAATATCAATGGTATTTTTCACAGAACTAGAACAAATAACTATAAACTTAGTATAGATTCACAAAAGACCCAGAATAGCCACAGCAATCTTAAGAAAGCAGGAGGTATCACGTTCCCTGTTTTCAGAGTATACTAGTAAGCTATAGTAATCAGAAGTGTATTGTACTGGCACAAACACAGATGCATAGATCAATGGAGAGAGCTCAAGAATAAACCCATACATATATGGTCAATTAGCCTACAACAAAGGAGGTCCCATTAAGCAAGAGCAACAGCAGCAAAAACAAACAACTCGGATTACACTAAACTAAAAAGATTTTGCACAGCAGAGGAAACTATCAACAAAATAAAAAGGCAAATGGGAGAATATATTTGCAAATGAAATATCCAATAAGGGGTTAATATCCAAAATTTATAAAGAACTCATACAACTCAATATCAAGAAAAAACAAATAATGTGATTAAAAATTGGACAGAAAACCTGAATAAACTTTTTGCCAAAGAAGATGTATAGATGACCAACAAATCAATGAAAAGATATACGTCACTAATCATCAGGGAAATGCAAATAAAAACCATAACAAGATGGCACTTCACACCTGTCAGAAAGACTATCATTAAAAAGTGTTCATAGCAAGTGTAGGTGAAGATGTAGAGATAGGTAACCCTTGTGCATTGTTGGTGGGAGTGTATATTTGTGCGGCCATGATGGAAAATAATATGGAGGTTCCTCAAGAAATTAAAAATAGGACTAGAGTACAACCCAGGAATTCCACGTCTGGTTATTTATCCAAAGAAAACAAAAACACTAACTTGAAAAGATATATTCATGCTTATGTTCATTGCAGCATTATTTGCAATGGCCAAGATATGGAAACAACCTAAGTGTTTATCAATAGATGAATGGATGAAGAAGTGAAATAAGTCAGACAGAGAGAGACAAGTATCGTATGATTTCATATATATGTAGAATGTTTGAAAAACAACCATCAAAATAAAACAGGAAGATACTCATACATACAGAAAACTGGTGGTAGCCAGAGGGGAGGGGTTTGGGGGACTTGGCAAAATAAATAAAATGGATTTAAATGTACAACACTTCAGTTATAAAATAAATAAATCACAGGGAGATAATAACAACATAAGGAATATAGTCAATAATACTGTAATAACTGTACAATGATGGTTGCTTGCTAGATTTATTGTGGTGACCATTTTGTCATGTATTTAAATGTCACATCACTATATCGTACACCTGAAGCTAACAATATTGTACATCCACTATGCTTCAATAAAATAAAAGAAAATCAGAAATTCCCTGGTGGTCCAGTGGAAAGGGCTCCATGCTTCCACTGCAGGGGGCACAAGTTTGATCCCTGATTGGGGAACTAAGATCCCGCAAGCTGCACTGCATGGCCAAAATACTCAACCCAGCCTATATGGGAACACTTGCTGAAAAATAAAACAAAAATAAAAGAAAATCTTAAAAATTAAAAAAGTAACTTACAGAGGTTTATTATCACTTCTTAGTTGCCAGTGCCCACACATTATTTAACATGCTGAATAAATCTAATTATCTCCCTTTTACAAAGAGAGAGCCAAATCCTTGTGATTTCTTAGGGACCGTCTGGGAAATCTCAATATTAACTTGAGGGCAAAAAGACTTCATTCACTATTTGACTTAGGGAAATTGTCAAAAATGTCAAAGGGTTTGAACACAAGTAAATAAGATCACTGTGGAACAACACTAAGTTATCCATTTAAACAAGGACACAATTAAGATTTCAAAGGCAGGCTTCCGGGAAGATGGCAGAAGAGTAAGATGAGAAGATCACCTTCCTCCCCACAGATACACCAGAAATACATCTACACGTGGAACAACTCCTACAGAACACATACTGAACACTGGCAGAAGACGTCAGACCTCCCAAAAGGCAAGAAAGTCCCCACGTACCTGAGTAGGGCAAAAGAAAAAAGAATAAACAGAGACAAAAGGATAGGGACGGGACCTGCACCAGTGAGAGGGAGCTGTGAAGGAGGAAAGGTTTCCACACACGAGGAAGCCCCTTCGTGGGCGGAGACTGCGGGTGGCGGAGCGGGGGAGCTTCGGAGCCACGGAGGAGAGCACAGCAACAGGGGTGCGGAGGGCAAAGTGAAGAGATTCCCGCACAGAGGATCAGGGTCGACTGGCACTCACCAGCCCGAGAGGCTTGTCTGCTCACCCGCCGGGGAGGGCAGGGCTGGGAGTTGAGGCTTGGGCTTCAGTCGGAGCGCCGGGAGAGGACTGGTGTTGGCAGCATGAACACAGCCTGCAGGGGGTGAGTGCGCCACAGCTAGCCGGGAGGGAGTCCGGAGAAAAGTCTGGACCTGCCGAAGAGGCAAGACTCCTCATCCTGGTGGGCGAGAAGAGGGGATTAAGACTGCTGCTTAAAGGAGCTCCAGAGACGGGCGCGAGCCATGGCTAAAAGCGCGGACCCCAGAGACGGGCATGAGGTGCTAAGGCTGCTGCTGCCGCCACCAAGAAGCCTGTGTGTGAGCACAGGTCACTATCCACACCCCCCTTCCGGGCAACCTGTGCAGCCCGCCACTGCCAGGGTCCCGGGATCCAGGGACAACTCCCCAGGGAGAATGCACGGCGTGCCCCAGGCTGGTGCAACGTCATGTTGGCCACTGACGCCACACGCTCGCCCCGCGCTCCGTGCCCCTCCCTCCCTCTGGCCTGAGTGAACCAGAGCCCCCGAATCATCAGCTCCTTAAACCCCGTCCTGTCTGAGCGAAGAACAGACGCCCTCTGGCCACCTACACGCAGAGGCGGGGCCAAATCCAAAGCTGAGCCCCTGGGAGCTGTGAGAACAAAGAAGAGAAAGGAAAATCTCTCCCAGCAGCCTCAGAAGCAGGGGATTAAAGCTCCACAATCAATTTGATGTACCCTGCATCTGTGGAATACATTAATAGACAACAAATCACCCCAAATTAACGGGGTGGATTTTGAGAGCAAGATTTATGATTTTTTTGTCTTTTCCTCTTTTTGCCAGTGTGTATGTACATGCTTCTGTGTGAGATTTTTTCTGTATAGCTTCCACCATTTGTCCTAGGGTTGTATCAGTCCATTTTTAAAAAACTTTTTTTCTCTTAGTAATTATTTTTTATTTTAATAACTTTATTTTATCTTACTTTATTTTACTTTATCTTCTTTCTTTCTTTTTTTCCTTCTTTCCCTCCTTCCTTCCTTCCACCATCCCTCCCTCCCTCCCTCCTTTCTTTCTTTCTTTCTTTCCTTCTTTCTTTCTATTTCTACTAATTCTTTCTTTCTACCTTTTCCCACTATTATTCTGAGCTGTGTGGGTGAAAGACTCTTGGTCTTGCAGCTAGCAGTCAGTGCTGTGCCTCTGAGGTGGGAGAGCCAACTTCAGGACACTGGTCCACAAGAGACCTCCCAGCTCCACATAGTATCAAATGGTGAAACTCTCCCAGATATCTCCATCTCAACACCAGCACTCAGTTTCACTCAACGGCCAGCAAGCTACAGTGCTGGACATCCTATGCCAAACAACTAGCAAGAGAGGAACACAACCCCACCCATTAGCAGAGAGGCTGCCTAAAATCATAAGAAGTCCACAGACACCCCAAAACACACCACCAGACGTGGACTTGCCGACCAGAAAGACAAGATCCAGCCTCATCCACCAGAACACAGGCACTAGTCCCTTCCACCAGGAAGCCTAAACAACCCACTGAACCAACCTTAGCCACTGGGGACAGACACCAAAAACCATGGGAGCTACGAAGCTGCAGTCTGCAAAAAGAAGACCCCAAACACAGTAAGATAAGCAAAATGAGAAGACAGAAAAACACACAGCAGATGAAGGAGCAAGATAAAAATGCACCAGACCTAACAAACGAAGAGGAAAGAGGCAGTCTACCTGAAAAAAAGTTCAGAATAATGATAGTAAAGATGATACAAAATCTTGGAAATAGAATAGACAAAATGCAAGAAACATTTAACAAGGACCTAGAAGAACTAAAGATGAAACAAATGATGAACAACACAATAAATGAAATGAAAAATACTCTAGATGGGATCAATAGCAGAAAAACTGAGGCAGAGGAACGGATAAGTGACCTGGAAGATAAAATAGTGGAAATAACTACTGAAGAGCAGAATAAAGAAAAAAGAATGAAAAGAACTGAGGACAGTCTCAGAGACCTCTGGGACAACATTAAATGAACCAGCATTCGGATTATAGGGGTTCCAGAAGAAGAAGAGAAAAAGAAAGCGACTGAGAAAATATTTGAAGAGATTATAGTTGAAAACTTCCCTAATAGGGGAAAGGAAATAGTTAATTAAGTCCAGGAAGCACAGAGAGTCCCATACAGGATAAACCCAAGGAGAAATACACCAAGGCACATATTACTCAAACTGTCAAAAATTAAATAAAAAGAAAACATATCAAAAGCAGCAAGAAAAAAACAACAAATAACACACAAGGGAATCCCCATAAGGTTAACAGCTGAACTTTCAGCAGAAACTCTGCAAGCCAGAAGGGACTGGCAGGACATATTTAAAGTGATGAAAGAGAAAAAGCTGCAACCAAGATTACTCTACCCAGGAAGGATCTCATTCAGATTTGATGGAGAAATTAAAACCTTTACAGACAAGCAAAAGCTGAGAGAGTTCAGCACCACCAAACCAGCTTTACAACAAATGCTAAAGGAACTTCTCTAGGCAAGAAACACAATAGAAGGAAAAGACCTACAATATCAAACCCAAAACAATTAAAAAATGGAGATAGGAACATACGTATCAATAACTACCTTAAATGTAAATGGACTAAATGCTCCCACCAAAACACACAGACTGGCTGAATGGATACAAAAACAAGACCCATATATTTGCTGTCTACAAGAGACCCACTTCAGACCTAGAGACACATACAGACTGAAAGAAAGGAGATGGAAAAAGATAGTTCATGCAAATGGAAACCAAAAGAAAGCTGGAGTAGCAATTCTCATGTCAGAAAAAATAGACTTTAAAACAAAGACTATTAGAAGGGACAAAGAAGGACACTACATAAAGATCAAGGGATCGATCCAAGAAGAACATATAACAATTGTAAATATTTATGCACCCAACATAGGAGCACCTCAATACATAAGGTAAATACTAACAGCCATAAAAGGGGTAATTGACAGTAACACATTCAGAGTAGGGGACTCAAACACCCCACTTTCACCCAAGGACAGATCATCCAAAATGAAAATCAATAAGGAAACACAAGCTTTAAATGATACATTAAACAAGGTGGACTTAATTGATATTTATAGAACATTCCATCCCAAAACAACAGAATACACATTTTTCTCAAGAGCTCATGGAACATTCTCCAGGATACATCATATCTTGGGTCACAAATCAACCCTTGGTAAATTTAAGAGAATTGAAACTTTATCAAGTATCATTTCGACCACAGCACTATGAGACTAGATATCAATTACAGGAAAAGATCTGTAAAAAAATACAAACACATGGAGGCTAACCAATACACTACTTAATAATGAAGTGATCACTGAAGAAATCAAAGAGGAAATCAAAAAATACCTAGAAACAAATGACAATGGAGACACGATGACCCCAAATCTGTGGGATGCAGCAAAAGCAGTTCTAAGATGGATGTTTATAGCAATACAATCCTACCTTAAGAAACAGGACATATCTCGAATAAACAACCTAACCTTGCACATAAGGAAATTAGAGAAAGAAGAACAATAGCAACAAGAAAACAAAACTAGCAGAAGGAAAGAATCATAAAATTCAGATCAGAGATAAATGGAAAAGAAATGAAGGAAATGATAGCAAAGATCAATAAAACTAAAAGCTGGTTCTTTGAGAAGATAAACAAAATTGATAAACCATTAGCCAGACTCATCAAGAAAAAAAGAGAGAAGACTAATATCAATATAATTAGAAATGAAAAAGGAGAAGTAACAACTGACACAGCAGGGAAACAAAAGATCATGAGAGATTACTACATGCAACACTATGCCAATAAAATGCACAACCTGGAAGAAATGGACAAATTCTTAGAAATGCACAACCTGCCAAGACTGAATCAGGAAGAAATAGAAAATATGAACAGACCAATCACAGGCACTGATATTGAAACTGTGATTAAAAAACTTCCAACAAACAAAAGCCCAGGACCAGATGGCTTCACAGGTGAATTCTATCAAACATTTAGAGAAGAGCTAACACTTACCCTTCTCAAACTGTTCCAAAATATAGCAGAAGCAGGAACACTCCCAAACTCATTCTACGAGGCCACCATCACCCTGATACCAAAACCAGACAAGGATGTCTCAAATAAGAAAACTACAGGCCAATATCACTGATGAACATAGATGCAAAAATCCTCAACAAAATACTAGCAAACAGAATCCAACAGCACATTAAAAGGATCATACACCATGATCAAGTGGGGTTTATTCCAGGAATGCAAGGATTCTTCAATATATGCAAATCAATCAGTGTGATAAACCATATTAGTATATTGAAGGAGAAAAACCGTATGATCATCTCAATAGATGCAGAGAAAGCTTTCGACATAATTCAACACACATTTATGATAGAAAACCCTGCAGAAAGTAGGCATAGAGGGAACTTTTGTCAGCATAATAAAGGCCATATATTACAATCCCACAGCCAACAACATCCTCAATGGTGAAAAACTGAAAGCATTTCCACTAAGATCAGGAACAAGACAATGTTGCCCACTCTCACCATTCTTATTCAAGATAGTTTTGGAAGTTTTATTCCCAGCAATCAGAGAAGAAAAGGAAATAAAAGGAATCAAAATCGGAAAAGAAGAAGTAAAGCTGTCACTGTTTGCAGATGACATGACACTATACATCGAAAATTCTAAAGATGCTACCAGAAAACTACTAGAGCCAATGAATTTGGTAAAGTAGCCAGATACAAAATTAATGCACAGAAATCTCTGGCATTCCTATACACTAATGATGAAAAATCTGAAAGGGAAATCAAGAGAACACTCCCATTTACCATTGCAACAAAAAGAATAAAATATCTAGGAATAAACCAACCTAAGGAGACAAAAGACCTGTATGCAGAAAATTATAAGACACTGATGAAAGAAAGTAAAGATGATACAAATAGGTGGAGAGATATATCATGTTCTTGGATTGGAAGAATCAAGATTGTGAACATGACTCTACCACCCAAATTCTCTACAGATTCAATGCAATGCCTATCAAACTACCACTGGCATTTTTCACATAACTAGAACAAAAAATTTCACAATTTCTATGGAAACACAAAAGACCCTGTATACCCAAAGCAATCTTGAGAACGAAAAACGCAGCTGGAGGAGTCAGGCTCCCTGACTTCAGTCTATACTACAAAGCTACAGTAATCAAGACAGTATTGTACTGGCACAAAAACAGAAAGATAGATCAATGGAACAGGATAGAAAGCCCAGAGATAAAGCCACGCCCATATGGTCACCTTATCTTTGATAAAGTAGGCAGGAATGTACCGTGGAGAAAGGACAGCCTCTTCAGTAAGTGGTGCTGGGAAAACTGGGCAGGTACATGTAAAAGTATGAGATTAGAGCACTCCCTAACACCATACACAAAAAGAAGCTCAAAATGGATTAAAGACCTAAATGTAAGGCCAGAAACTATCAAACTCTTAGAGGAAAACATAGGCAGAACAATCTATGACATAAATCACAGCAAGATCCTTTTTGACCCACCTCCTAGAAAAATGGAAATAAAAATAAACAAATGAAGCAACCAACAAAGGATTAATCTCCAAAATTTACAAGCAGCTCATGCAGCTCAATAGCAAGAAAACAAACAACCCAATCCAAAAATGGGCAGAAGACCTAAATAGACATTTCTCCAAAGAAGATATACAGACTACCAACAAACACATGAAAGAATGCTCAACGTCATTAATCATTAGAGAAATGCAAATCAAAACTACAATGAGATATCATCTCACACCAGTCAGAATGGCCATCATCAAAAAATCTAGAAACAATAAATGCTGGAGAGGGTGTGGAGAAAAGGGAACCCTCTTGCACTGCTGGTGGGAATGTGAATTGGTTCAGCCACTATGGAGAACAGTAGGGAGGTTCCTTAAAAAACTACAAATAGAACTACCATATGACCCAGCAATCCCACTACTGGGCATATACCCTGAGAAAACCAAAATTCAAAAAGAGTCATGTACCAAAATGTTCATTGCAGCTCTATTTACAATAGCCCAGAGATGGAAACAACCTAAGTGCCCATCATCGGATGAATGGATAAAGAAGACGTGGCACATATATACAATGGAATATTACTCAGCCATAAAAAGAAACGAAATTGAGCCATTTGTAATGTGGTGGATAGACCTAGAGTCTGTCATACAGAGTGAAGTAAGTCAGAAAGAGTAAGACAAATACCGTATGCTAACACATATATATGGAATTTAAGATAAAAAAATGTCATGAAGAACCTAGTTGTAAGACAGGAGTAAAGACACAGACCTACTAGAGGATGGACTTGATGATATGGGGAGGGGAAAGGGTAAGCTATGACAAAGCGAGAGAGAGGCATGGACATATATACACTACCAAACGTAAAATAGATAGCTAGTGGGAAGCAGCCGCATAGCACAGGGAGATCAGCTCGGTGCCTTGTGACCACCTAGAGGGGTGGGCTAGGGAGGGTGGGAGGGAGGGAGACGCAAGAGGGAAGAGATATGGGAACATATGTATATGTATAACTGATTCACTTTGTTATAAAGCAGAAACTAACACAGCATTGTAAAGCAATTATACTCCAATAAAGATTTTTAAAAAATGATTGAAGCTTCAGCGAAGATTATTAGATGTACATCCTTGGAAAGAAAACACTTCATTTTTCTAATGTTTACCTGACAAATAAGACAAACCCCTTCACTGAACTTGCTTATAATAAAGTGATGGAAATATCAAAGAAAAGAAAGAAAAAGAAAAAACAAGGAAGATGTTGACTGGTGCATGCTAACACATATATATGGAATAAAAAAAAAATGATTCTGAGTAACCCAGGGGCAGGACAGGAATAAAGATACAGATGTAGAGAATTGACTTGAGGACATGGGACGGGGGACTGGTAAGCTGGGATTAAATGATAAAGTGGCATGGACATATATACGCTACCAAATATAAAATAGATAGCTAGTGGGAAGCAGCTGCATAACACAAGGAGATCAACTAGGTGCTTTGTGACTACCTTTGGGGGTGGGATAGGGAGGGTGGGAGGGAGACGCAAGAGGGAGGCGATATGGGAATATATGTATATGTATAGCTGATTCACTTTGTTATACAGCAGAAAGTAATGCAACATTGTAAAGCAATTATACTCCAATGAAGATATTAAAAAAAAAAAGAAAAAGGGAAACAGGAACAACCATATATTTACCCTTTTCGGTTCTTTGTGAGATTTTTTTTTGATAAGTTACATAATGTGTGATTTAAGAAAATCATTTAGAATGATGGGTACATTTGTTTATCTCATAAAAATGTTGTGATCAATTAGAACATAAATATTAAGAACAAGGAAATTAAATAGATATAAGTGGGATAAAAGTTTGTAAATTAACTTTTCAACAATTATTATGTTTTATAGTATGTGTCTTTACAAAAGGTCCACAAACCTTTTTAGTAGCTTGAAACCTTAAATCTATACTAAATTAAAGTAAATAAGGAAGATTCGTTGTATAGCTAGATTATTTCCAAATAAAATAAAATAATTAAATAGTAATTGCTGAACATAAGGTTATGTACTTTGGCATCTTGTTTTTGTACAGCATAAATATATTTGGATCTGTTAAAAGAATATGAGCTTTGTACTATTAAATGGCATATGCCTCTAGAAAATTATGAACCGATGTATTCAGAAATCTGATACAGAATGATATATGAGGCAGTCAGTTAAAACTGCTTGTTCCCTAGTTTTCTCTGTCAAAGACAGGTGATTAATGGTTAAAAATTGTAATCAATATTTGTAAATGACACACTGCCAGGATTAACAAGGGTAAAGAAAAAATAAAACCTCTGTGTGAAGGCAAAGTAAGATGTATTTTTGATAAGGAGCTGTTAAGGATTAAGAAGAATATCTTTGTCCTAAGGCAGAATGATTGATTTTTCCAGCATGAGAAAGAGAAAATGAGTTATACAACAACAAAATGAATATATATATAATATATATATATATAACATATATATAACATATATATTATATATATACACATATATATTTTTTAAGTTGGAGCATATTTGTGGGAGAGGATATTGCATGAAATTCATACAAATTGGTCAATAAACTTGTCTGTTTTTTATGTTAAAATATGTGTGCCACAGAAATAAATAATTGTCCTCCTCAAACAAACTCTCATCAGACATAAACATAGCCAATTTAATTTCTGCATTCACAGCCAATCATTGTTTGACACTGATTGTTCTCTTGAGGGTGTTTATAATCAGCAATAGACAGAAATGCCTAGGCACTTATGTAAATAATCAGACAAAGTACAATGAAACGAGATTATTTTGCAAACAAATTTGTCTTACTTTGTTTCTGGTTTAATGTTGGTGTCCTGAGAGAGAAAAAAAAATCCTTTCAGTGGAAAACTACAACCTATACTTTTGGATTCCATCTTGCACATTTTGCCACTCAGTGCAAAAGCCTGAGTTCTTCTAGTTTCCTCCAGTATCTGCCTACAACTCTCCAAATTAATGTTTCCAATTTTTCTCCCATCTGACTTGGAATCATGGAAAACTAAAACTTTCCTTTTCCTGAATCTGTGCAAGTTGAAGCTGCAGGATTAGATATACACCTCAAGTAAATCACCTCAAATGATCATGTGTGGGCAGGCTTCATGTCTACTGCTGTGTGTGCCATTCAGAAAGTTGAACAAAAACCCCAATGCCATCACTAAAGACATTCAAACTGCAAACCAAGAAATCCACTGGATTATCACTGCTGTCTGTATTCACCATCTAAAGATGTTGAGTGCAATATCAAGAAATTTCTCAACAGGCTTCCCTCTTGGGATCAGAAACTGGGGTTTTTATATTAATATTTGTTTTTCTGTTATTTTCATAGAAACTCCACTTCATTAAATGCCTGGTGGCTAGCACCAAAAAGCATACCTTCTACTACCAAATGTCAACAGATAATTTAGCAGGTCTTTAATGAATAAAAGGTGACTGACAAGAAACGGACTATATTGTTCTCAGGAAAGAAGAATGTCTCATCATTCCTTTGAACAATAGGGTGGACTGACTTCAGAATTGACCCCGGTTCAATACTGGGGGCTCTTTTATCCTACTCCAGTAGTCCTGAATAAATCTGCTTTTATCATTTTAACTATTGTGCAACTATGGGTTTTCTCCAACAGTAGTCAGAATCAATCACCCTAACCAGCACCCAAACTCCCTGCCTTGCATGTTGATTCACAGGCACTAGGAGCCCAGTGTGGCCAGGTCTAGGTCTTAACTTCCATTTGGGGGAATCAATGTTTTGTCTCCTAGGAGAAGAAGTCCTTCCTCTGTATCTAAGACTTATAGGTCAACAGAGCATAAAGTTAGGGGAAGAGGAAGCAAAAATGGTGCCGTTCCCTTTTCCACCCCTTGATTCTTGGATCCATGAATCCTGGATAGAAGAAAATAGCACCATAGTGGATGCTGATTCAGAGCATACATAGTCTACTGGAAAATATTGTTATAGCCCTGTAACAAATATCTTCCCAACTGGCTTCGTAAATGAGTCTTGTAAAGGCTCTTCTACCATTCTATCAAACTAGCTGCTTCAGGTGGTGGGAGATGTGGTATGACCAGTGAATATCATGTGCATGGGCCCATTGCTGAACTTCTTTTGCTATGAAGTGAGTTCACTGATCTGAAACAATGTTGTGTAAGATACCATAATAGTGGACAAGACATTCTTTAAGTCCATGAATGATTGTTTTGGCAGTAGTTTTACATGCAGGTAAGGCAAATCTGTACCAAGTTTAGTGTCTATTCCAGTGAAGAGAAAAACGTTGCAGTTTCCATGATAGAGAGATCCAGTGTAATCACCCTGGCACAAGGAAACTGCTTTATCTCCATACTCAGCACACAACTTTGTCTACCAGTGCTTACTCTACATACTACTGGAAATAGAGTCATTATCATCTTTAACTCTAATAAGATTAGAAAGCAGGTTCCAGAAAACCCAGAAACAATCAAAATAATCATCCTTAAAATTCTTTTCCTCAAGAACCATTCTTGGAACCAAAATCTATATTAGCCAGAGTTCTGCAGCAAACCAAATCCAATAGGAGATGATGATAATGATAGATAGATAGATACAAGAGGATATTTATTAAAAGAATTATCTCAGATGTTTATAAAGGCTGAGTATACCCACAATCTGCCATCTGCTATCTGGAGAATGAGGAATGATTATGG